AATACCTTGGTTGGCGGACTGATGCAGAGCAATACACATTACACCTTATAAGTTTACGTATATACCAGCTGAGTCATTGCCACACTCATCATTAGACTGTATCACTTTAATTCTATGTCACTGTATCATTGTATTACTTCTGTATCACTCCTGTATCCCTATATCCCTGTTTCACTAGCATCCCTGTATCACTGTATTACTCATGTATCACTGTATTGATCATCTGTTACTGTATCAATGAACTCATCACAAACTGTAAAGTCCACGCCACTTTTACTGTAAGCCACACAGTCTGGCAGCCTCGAAATTCCTAGCCAATAACTTCCCAGGCTGCAGCCCTCCCTCACCCCACCTCCAGAAACATACAAACCAGGCAACTACTCGGTGGTCAGCCAAGGTGTACCCTCGAACACGTTAGCCTGGATAAATAAATTAAAATGTATTTTCTTTCTGTTTCTAAAATTAGCCATGCTTTTGTTTTAGTTAAGAACATGATAGAATATATAACATGATGTCGGAGTTTCGTAAGAGGCCACTGGTCATTTTCACAGGATATTCCACCAATGAGCGTTGACCAGAGAGGCTGGCCTTCGCTGTACAGTGTGTCGATAAGGAGGAGGAATCTTGGGCAAGAGTAGTGTTCACCCAACAACCATGGCCGTATCCATGTGTGGCGCCGAAACAACACAAGGTAACATAACCATAAAGTTAAGAATGCCTCTAAAACATGTGTGTGTGATCACTGCACCCACTTGAATGGAAGAAACGAGGCTCTGACGGAAAGATGGGAGGGGTGGGGGGGGGCACTTTCTTATAGACAGCGACGGGACCACGGGCGACCACAAAGACGGTGTAGGATAAGAAGTGGGTCCAACGTCCACGTGAACGAGTGGGGGCATCACGTTGACTAATTGCTAAGGGAGGGACACCGACATCCTCAAAGATTAAGGAAAAACGTAACGTTCCTTTATAACTGTTGTGGGAGGCGAAGGACTCCAGACTTAGCTGATGAGTAAAACGATAACCAATGAATATGATAACTTGGACGTACCTGAGATATGGTTTGTTGATGTCCCTCCAAGAGCTGTTTTATCTCACACTTACCTGGAAAAGGAAAAATTCAGTTGAGATTACCTGCCGTCTATCCCACACACACACCTATATGATTATTAACACTTAACTTACAGGAACAACTAACAACAAGTAAGCTAAATGGATGACTAAGAGAACTTGTTTAATATGTCCACAACACAACAGTAGTATAGTTACCTTGTGCTGGTGGTCGAGGGAACCCTGGTGCCGTACAGGGTCACCTCCTGGCACCGTCTTGACAATTTTATGACACCTCATGACCCTGACGACACCTTGCCGTAATCTATGACACACACCTTGCGATAGTTCAAAACACTTTGCAACACTTTACGACATTAATGACACTTAGCGAGACTTTAAAGCATTAATGGCACTTTATCAGAACTACTGGCTCTTAAAAGCACTTATTAAATTTTCTGATATTACATGAATCATTGTGACGTAGCGTGACACTATATGCCACTTTACGACGCTTTATGCCACTCTTATGACACTTATACTGGTGTTTTGGACGCCAGCAATTACTTTGTGACACTTAAAAATCTTTATAACACAAACACTTCATAACACTTATAAACACTTTACGTTACTTACTCACATTATATTATACATGTGATCACAACAATTATGAAAACATTACGGCACTTAAATCACTTTTTGAAACGTAGACCACTTTGAGACACTTTCAGTATAACTACTTTAGGACACTTATAAACACGTGGTGGCACCTGCAAACACTTCATAACACTTACAAACACTTTATTACACTGGCAAACACTTGATGACACTTTTTAGTCCTCGTCAATTTCAGTTTCTTCACAGGCTATTTGTTTGTCTATAAGCCATCGTGTTCGTCCTTACCGCCACTAAGGCAGAGGCAGCACTGTATGCCCTGTCTTGCTAGAAGCCTCTGTTGATATTCTCATAAATCCGAAACAGCGAAACGAAGCAGATTCAAGACCTCGTCCCAGTGCTGTAACGGACTGAGTTTGGTCGTGTTTTACTCATTTGTTTCTCCACACATGTAGCTTTATAAGGTATAAGGCAATGTATTACACAGATTATGTGCCAATATTACTGGTCGCACAATGGCTCGTTTTGGGATGGTTGAGGCTCATGTATCGAAAAGCTGTTCCTGAGCTCTCGAAGCACTTACGTCATCGATGTCTCAAAGTGATGTCAGTTAACTGGCGACAAAATGTATCCCAAATTGTTTATATTGTTTATCCCGGTTTAATTGCTTATTAAATCAATTAAACAAACGGGAAACAAGCGGAAATGATATAAATTTGCATTGAAAATAACAAATAATCAAATAAAACATTTTAAATTATTTTCTTATTCCGAAAGTCAACGGTTTCGAAGACGTGTGTGTTGCCTGAGGACGATCAACACAGACCACGACTAAACCAATGCTGCCAACAGTCTCCACACGTCTGTTTCGGCGCCACACATGGATACGGCCATGGTTGTTGGGTGAACACTACTCTTACCCAAAATTCCTCCTCCTTATCGACACACTGTACAGCGAAGGCCAGCCTCTCTGGTCAACGCTCATTGGTGGAATATCCTGTGCAAATGACCAGTGGCCTGTTCCACCATCATGTTATATATTCTATCATTTTCGTAATTAAAACAACTGCAAAGATAGGTTTTAGAAAAAGGAAAAATACATTTTTAATTTATTTATCCAGGCTAACGTGTTCGGGGGTACACCTTGGCTGACCACCAAGTAGTTGCCTGGTTTGTGTGTTTCCGGAGGTGGGGTGAGGGAGGGCTGCAGCCAGACCTTCGCATGGCTTATAACTGGCGTGGACTGCACTACATAACAAGAGAGAGAGAGAGAGGGAGAGAGAGAGATTGATCCATACTCACATCCACTCACACCGTCAACATAGCTGCATAATTGATCGCAGTACAAACTTTCCAAAGCCTGAGTCATTTGGAGACCGTCAGTTGGAGTATGCCAGATAAATATCCCAAACGAGACTTGTCACTAAGCAACTTTAGGAACCTTTGAGGTGATCCGTCGCTACATAAGCTACGTTCAAATTCACTACATAATCCACTTTAGTGAAAATTAAGTCATCTTTAGCGAGTTCAACTTTTTAGTTATCTAGAATTTCACGTTTTGTAGAAAGAATATTAAATGTTTCCAGACAAAATTTGGATAAAAACCCTAAGAATTGGAAAGATTGGAACCATCTAATGAATAAATAATAAACATACAGTGAAATGTTCCAACTAATGTACAGTACGAATACCTTCTACCAGTAGCGCTTACTCATTTTACGCCAGTGATTTGTAAAAGGCAACATATTTTTTTTTTAACATTACCAGTGAGCCAGACACTTATTTACAAGACACACTAACCAATTAGTTATGAGTGAGCAACAACAAAGTAGTCATGCAATACCACCTCTCTCTCTCTCTCTCTCTCTCTCTCTCTCTCTCTCTCTCTACAATGAAACATAAAACTAAAATCGTTAAAAACTTTTCCTGGTATTTACATCAAAACAAAGAGGTCATATCGCTATACTACACGTGAGTTGTTAATAAGTTTGGTGTTATTATGAGCTAATGTAGAGTGAGCATACCTGACCCAACACACACACACTCTCTCTTGCTTTTTCGTGAGCAATCAGCTGTTTGATTTATGACTTTGATGGAGTGGACGTAATTGTGTGTATCAACCATTTTTGTCGCTGAAAACTTAAGTATAGGAAATTAAACGACTGTAGTAAGGGCCAAAGTGATTTTTTTTTTTTTATTATTCATGGGGATAAATGTTTGAGCGATACTACGCGTCTAAAAGCCTTGGCTATAAAGGTTAGAGGTTAGATTGGGTTAGGTTAGGTTAGGTTAGGTTAGGTTAATTGGTTGTTAGGTTAGGTTAGCATTAGTGTGGTTAAGCTTAAGGTGAAATAAGCTGAGTTGTCTAAACTTCACGTGAATCTTATATAAACTTGTCAAAACTGTGACATAACGATGATGTAAAAAGGACAAGATGATTTACAAGTAATTAATTGAAATAAGTCAGAGAGAAGCAAAATAACACCGAGCACTATAGTAATGTCTAGTGTTCTGTATGCGGACAAATTAAGTATTTACAATAAATATTCCGTCGAAAGAACTACCCTATCAGCGCGTGTTGTCGTCAGCTCTTGGTTTGTTTCAGCGCAACACCCGGGCGTATTCTCACGTCAACTAATTTATTTTTAGGTACGTGTTATAGTGAAGTGAAACAAAGTAAGAGATATATTGAATCTGTAGCTTTTGTTTCCCGTTTGTAGAGGGGTCATGTACTCTTCTCAGTATAGTGACTCAACCTAAAGATTAACTACTGTATAAGATTTATTCTCATCATTCACTGTAACAACAAAACATATATATGGGAATACAATAACGTGACTTGTGGTGTTCTTGAGTAATAATAATAACGCTGGAAGGTTAATCGCGTACTCTCGTGCTCAGGGGCAATTTAGTCGAATTTTGCTACACGATATAATCTAAATAGGGCATTGAATACCTGAGCGTGGTCACCAGAAATATTATGGGGAACCACGTATTAATGTTCGTGTTCCTGCCTCCATATTTAACGTACGTCGTCGTCTTCGTCATCATCATCAATATTCTAATTGTTAAATTAAACTGAAGGTAGTTAAAGTTTTAGTTTACAAATATAGTTATGAAATACAGCAGAACATCAGAACTGTTTTCCAATATGTGAATGATCTGAAAAACTGTAATATAATACTCACGCTGATGAAAACTATGACTGAAGATAACATCTAGAATTTTGTTACCCTTCTGGTAATGTCAGCTACGGGGCCTCAGGTCCACTGCGGTTGCGCACACCAGCACGTGGGCCGCGGTGGACCTTCTCATGACGCAGACGCTGGGCGGTCATCATCACGCTCACTCACCAACCACTCCTTCATCTCTTACAACTTGGGTGAGAAAAGAAAGGAGAGAATATCCGTAGATATGGTTGGTGGTGTAGCCAGGTGGAGGCTAGTGCTGGTGCTGCTCCTGCTGACGCCCATTGCTGCACCGAACAAAACCTTATCCAAGATCAGTGATGGCTTTGGGGACTACTACATGATCGCAGGCTACGCCATGGATGATGCAACAGATTACCAAACACTTAATATTACAAAACTTTGTAAGTACTTGTTACTTTTGGTTGTGTGTGTGTGTGTGTGTGTGTGTGTGTGTGTGTGTGTGTGTGTGTGTGTGATAATAATAATAATAATAAACGGTTTATTAATAGAGTTGCAGCCGGTGGCTAAAAATAAAACAAACTTACATGTGATTTAGACATAATAATATACATTCAATACAATTACAGGGCTGTGCAGTCCATAAATCAGGAGTTGTTTATTATTTTAACAATAGATGGGATGGTGCTGTTCTTATATCTATCAGTGCGGGCTCTTGTGGGCTGAATTTTGTTGTAGTGGCGGACTGCACGAGGCGGGCGGGGGACTGCCGGTGGTAGTAGGTGGCGATGACGAGGATGGTCCAGTAGTCCACTGCCAACCTGCGAGTGAGTGGGGGTGGAGGTCACTGAGGGGTGGCATTTCCAGGGTGGAGAGAGAGCGTTGTTGTAGCCGGAGTATTCTGCGCCGAGCATGATTCTGCAGGCCCTCTTCTGTACCTTCTCTAGTTGACGTTGTTGGGTAGAGTTGAGAGAAGACGACCAGGCTGGTGACGCATACGCTAATTTAGAGAGAATAAATGCGTTGTAGATAGTCCTCAGCTCTGGCGTGGGTGCCCCAAGTGACCTGAGTCGTCGTAGCATGTGTGTAATAATAATAATAATAATAATAATTAACGGTTTATTGTGTGTGTGTGTGTGTGTAATCTTCTTGAATCGTTTGCTTTATTGGTGGGTGGGAATCTATAGGGTGGTTTTTCGTTGAGATTTACTATTCTTTTAAAAGTTTGGCCCTTGTATTGGAGTGATCTCTAGGACCGTTGGGTTCAGCTCTAGGGGTGGGGCCAAGGTGGCATCCCAGTAGGTGGTGAACAGTGACAATGTCTTATTAGGTGAAAAATTATTTATATTATTTCTTCGGGGATTAGCCAACCCGGGCACAGGTCATCGACCCACAACGGGGCCTCGGGAGCGAAAAATAAGAATAGAAAGAAATTAAAAATAGAAGAGAAAAGGGTTATATTAATCTACACCATGAAGATGTCGGAAAACCATCTTTTTGAAGAGAGACAGATTGTATGTGTATGGAAACACAGAAGAAGGCAGAGCATTCCACAGTTTGGCTGTGTGAGGAAACAAGGAGGCACTATAACGGGTTATTCTAGTGTGATCGACATCCACAGAGAAACGGTGGCACCGCGGGCAAGACGTGTGTTATGAGCCCACGGCCTTGCCGGCGGTACACAGGATGCCAAATCCACCAAGCATTGCCCGTTCAAGTACCTGTTAAAGAGAGAGAGTGAAGCAACATTGCTGTGAAGAGAAAGGGAAGAAAGATTATCAACTAAAGGAGGAGAGTTAATAAGACGAAATGCATTTGATTCCACCCTATCTAACAGTTGGCCAATAGAAGAGCCACCCCAGATATGAGAGCAGTACTCCAAGTTAGGACGAATGAATCCCTTACATACTTGAAGCAACTGCTCAGGAGTGAAGTAGCTACGGCATCTGTACAGCATTCCCAGCTTTCGGGAGGCAGCTTTAGCAATGTTGTGGATGTGTGGCTTCCGTGACGTGTTACAGGAAATGGTAGAAACATAATAATTTTCTTAAGAAATTATAAATATTACTTAAATAAATCACTGTTTATATCGCTGACTTCATAAAATTATCAACATACGTATTATTTAATTTGGGTAAATTAAACTGAAAAAAAAAAATTTCATTCTAAGCAAAACTACAAAATCAATCTTTAATAATCACAACAATTTCGAGGAAGTTTCTGCTACCAAACCACCAATAGGAGGAGGTCATTATCACAGCACAATCCTCCAGAGGTGGACAGTAATTATCTTCTTACAGCTCAGTCTTGACCCCTTAATTATTTTCTTCAACATTATGAACAACTTGTGTCTGAAAATTGGTTGACCAGATTTTAGTGTTTTTGAAATATTCGGTTTAAGGCGAGGTGACACACAGGTGAGTAAATAAATAAGAATAATGTGAAAACAATATTCTCACTACAGCTGGACTATGTGGTCACCGGCCAACCTATAGTCAAGCGGTGATCCACCCAGTACTGACAGATACAACGGCACTAAACCTCACTGATGTAGAGCTACAGCGCTGTGCACCTGCCACTACCATTACTTTCCTCTACCTTACCACCAATAATGTCAACGATGCACAAAAACTTAAGTTCTAAATTATTTCAATATTCATTCATTTATTTTCCCAGGTATGTGTCGCCGGGCGTGCCAAGCGAAGACCGATTGTCACTCAGTGTCGATGGTGCCAACAACAGGGACTGAGAACGAGTGTCGGATCTCAACCAAACCGGCAAACATCGGGGACAGATCACAACGTCCCAGACTCAAGAGGACACCCGGAGCCTTCCACTTTCTCGCTGCAGGTACAGCTCGTCATGATACACTCTGGCGCTATCGTGTATGTGTGTGTGTGTATGTGTGTGTGTGTGTGTGTGTGTGTTATAATAGACTAAAGTTCAGTTTGAGGTACATGAAGTATAAGCTGATTGAAGAACATAATGTTCGTATATGTCGCATATAAATATGTTAGTGGCCGTCCAGTTGACCCAGACGTTGGAACCTACAGAACATGGAACAGGTAATGTGTTGGTGTTGTTCAGTATGAGAACCAAATTACACCCGTAGAGTTATTGTTGTAACATTTGGATTACCTTAAAAATATCAAGAGAAATGTGATAAAATATACCTGTTACCTCACCTGTCACACCTGACCCTCGTCCTGGGTGACTCCAATAAGATGACTGCGGGAGGTAATATTGTTACTATGAGTTTTATCTTATCATTCACTCGTCTGTGAAGGAGCATTATTATTATTATTATTATTATTATTATTATTATTATTATTATTATTATTATTATTATTATTATTATTATTATTATTATTATTATTATTATTATTATTATTATAATTATTATTATTGTTATTATTATTATTATTATTATTATTATTATTATTATTATTATTATTATTGTTATTGTTATTATTATTATTATTATTATTATTATTATTATTATTATTATTGTTATTGTTATTGTTATTATTATTATTATTATTATTATTGTTGTTGTTGTTGTTGTTGTTGTTCAGTATAATGGTTAACTTTACTTTTGTTATGTCATATGAGTATTTTTATATTATATTATATTATATTATATTATATTATATTATATTTTATTATATTATATTATATTATATTATATTATATTATATTATATTCCTAGGCTTTATAATTATATAAAAAAAATTTCAGTCTCAGGAACCAATGAATGGAATACTCTTTTGGATGATGGCTTCTCGTGGCGTACGGAGAGCAACACTTATATTTGGAGTTTCCGACTAAATGGCGCGAGACTTGCCATCCTCCCATCATTACATCAGGTGAAGCTCGCTATGAGAGACATGACAGGTGAGTTCTATATCATTAACATATGTTAATTATGGGTTAATTAAACGTCCGTCAGAGCGGTTAGTCATAGTGGTTCATAGTGGTTCTCTGTTACAATGTGTTTAAGAGCATTATAATAGCAGCTTGGTATATTACAGGACAAACTGGGTCATTTAGTTTGAGTTGAGTATAATACTGTCGATCTGAATCAGCATGTCGAATATACAGACTCACCAGTGTTGTTGAAACAGTCTGTCATCACCACCATACTGTAGATCTAGTGACTCCCGAGGCTCTAGTACTGAGTTAGGTCTTGTTTATACTTTGCTGCTACTGTTCTCAAAGTTTTACAAAGGACATATAGTTTTATCTTTATCTTTTTTACACAGCATAAAGCCACCACTCCCCACAACACAGTCTCCGAGCGTCCGTACTCTCTCTCCCTCTCTCTCTCTCTCTTGAACATGTGTGGACGCTCTCCTTCCTTTGCGTCATAAGTCTGCATCACGGTTCGCGTCATGAGTCCCAGTGAGGACGTCTGTTAAATATCGCCCACGTACTCACATTGTTATGGCTACTATTCCTCTTAATATAATTCTATGGATAAATGAAGAATAACCCAGGTAGATTTTGTTTTCCTTGTTATGCAAGTCAATTTTTTTTTTAATTCTAAGAATGTCATAGCCTTTAAAAGAATGATTAAAGCATGTTTATGGCTACATATGGTATATAAAACGACTGAAATTTTTTGATCAATTTTATTTTGGTGGATATATTTTGTCCTCACCACAGCCATGCAACTGTTTAAAACTGTAATGTGGTTCATATATTACAAGACTTGACAAATTTATGGCAAATTTATGTGATTTCAGATGATCCTCGGCGTCCTGTAGATGTCTGTGTAAAATACATATTTAGACATTGGCCACAGTATTACAAATACCAAATAATATTGAATTCGTGGAGATATTTTATATGACAGGAAAAACAAAGCAATGCTGCCTTACGTTCGCTTACAGTATATCAGGTACAGTCGGCACACGGCATTAGTGGAAGCATCGTCCTACAGAAGAGTCAAGTGATCGTCTTGGCACTCCGCTCTGGTTAAGTGGTCATACTTCTTAACAGGGAAATAATTCATCTTTTTCTCCATGAGAATCACTGGACTGTCCAATTATAATTTAATAAACTATCTCCACTAACCCTTCACTACGGGGACTACACTTTTAATACTCTGTTCTACTAACGCCAAGGTTCTCTCCGTTACAGTTTGTAGGTCACTCAGCAGAGCATTTGCCTGCCAGGTACAGTAGTTGTCACAGAATGTTCTCGAGACCAATAATTGAAGATCGGGTTCCATTATTGTACAGTAACTCTTATACACTTCACAATAATAGTACACACAGTGGTTGCCGGTGATAGCACCGACCTACTAGTTGTTCGGTGCTCAACACCGCACCTCTCCCGCCATCTTCCACCGTAGTTGTATGAGAGATTATATGTTTATAAATATATTTTTTGTACTTATATTATAAATATTTATTTATGTTTCAGTAAACAGGCAGTACTACGTGGATCTGTCTCGCACTGGCACTGACCAACCCGTCTGGAACGCTGGTGGCGGGAATGTTAAGTACAACGATACAGACCTTGACCCAACACGTATCCAGGACGACCCAAACCTCTCCAACTCCAAGTTCTATTTCATTCATGATGGTTCCCAGTACACATTTGTTGGGACTTCTGGCTCAACGAAAAGAGTTCACCTTCAGCAGTATAACTACCTCAACCTCTGGGAGTGACGTGGCCAGCTGCGGCAGCTGTGGGGGGACTTAACAGTGGGACCTTCACTTACAGTAATGTTGATGTTCACTGCTTGACTACGACGTGACTTGTCTCAGAGCTCCCTAAGACCACGCCGGAGTAGACGTTGTTGACCTGGCCCTCACCTCCCTGGCAGACATTACTGACCTGACCCTCACCTCCCTGGCAGACATTACTGACCTGGCCCTCACCTCCCTGGCAGACATTACTGACCTGACCCTCACCTCCCTGGCAGACATTACTGACCTGACCCTCACCTCCCTGGCAGACATTACTGACCTGGCCCTCACCTCCCTGGCAGACATTACTGACCTGGCCCTCACCTCCCTGTCAGACATTACTGACCTGACCCTCACCTCCCTGGCAGACATTACTGACCTGGCCATAATCACCAGGGTTGTAACTAATATATACACTATATCTGAGGCCACCTAAGGGCCTGTTCTCCTACACACGGACATTAGGCAGTATTAACGTGACACAAGATCATTAACATTAAAACTTCTTCAACACAACGTCCTTCCTCCTCAGCTTGTGACTCTCTCTCTCTTACCGGGTACAAACTTTACCGTGAGTCATCGGTGAACTGAGTCCTTCCCAACATTACACACAAACACACGTCGGTGCTGATACAACACAACCTCACACTATTGTATGTGTCTCTGTTATCTGACACCAAACTAAGATGAGGCAGAAACAATTTTTAGACGAACGAACACAAGTATGTATTAGATATTCAATCACCAACCAGTTAAACTAAACAACAAACATATTAACCAATGACAAGTGGAACTACGCATTTAATTGAAGTTTATAATAACGAAATATTTCAATCTATTATAAGGACACATAGTTTACATAACTCCACACACACACACACACACAACACACACACGGATGTTAAACTCAGTCATCATAGCTAGAGATCGCTATTGTATTCTGTTTGATGAGTGTGTCAACTAGTGCAGATAGTAAGTCAATGTGGAGTATATAAGATAAGGAATGTTTATGGTCGTGGCTGTGGGTGTTGGACGACCTCTACAGTTTTAAAATAACAACATTATGATTAACCCCAGACTGTGTATTGTATGGCATGTCATTGCTAACTAGTGACATTAGATTAGATTGCAATTTAAAATGTATATTATTACTATGCACTGAATATATGTGTGTTAATTGGTTGTTTTAATTATATGTCAGGCATCTTCTCGTCTCGTGGTGAGAAGAACCGATAATGATGATGAAGGATGAACCAAAACATTATAGTAATTATTGTTTATTTGCCAAGTGAGAGTTTCATTCATTATAAATATAATGTCTTTGAGGAGATATAAATAAGGAATATACTATACAAGTCTCTCTCATTTAAATACATGCGAGAAACAAGTAACCATTATATTAGTCTACCCTGAACAATATGTCTATAAGAAAATGGATAAAGAAAACTAGTACCAATCATCAAGTACCTGACTCAGCCTCTATTACCACGAGCAATGGAGCTCAAGAAAATGTACATACAATTACCTTATAATAGTTAATAACCCAAATAAACGACTATATGGTATTGCTGTTCCTAATATCTTCAATAATCACAAATAAAAATAAATGAATACAGTGTTAAGACGATGATGAAATACAATGACTCAAAGCAGGACTTACACCACACGTGAAGCACATCAACACGGTGTACTGGTGGTAGTTAGTGGCAGTTAAAGGAAGTGACGTAGTTGAATAACATATCTTCACATCTATTCCTAGTAAAAAAGAATGAAAATACTTGGCTAGTATATGAAAGTACCTGGTTAGTGTATGCCAGTACCTGGTTAGTGTATGGAAGCGTCTGGGTAGGTGTAAAAGTGTCAGAACTTTAGGGAGAAACTCCTGACTGACTCACCTAACCTAACCTGACCTGACCTAAAGCACGTGCAGAAAAAATTCTTGATATTCAGCCTCCGTGATAAACACCAATGACTAGACTGTCTAACACTGGAGGAGAGGGCCCGGTCAGTAATGTCTGCCAGGGAGGTGAGGGCCAGGTCAGTAATGTCTGCCAGGGAGGTGAGGGCCAGGTCAGTAATGTCTGCCAGGGAGGTGAGGGCCAGGTCAGTAATGTCTGCCAGGGAGGTGAGGGCCAGGTCAGTAATGTCTGCCAGGGAGGTGAGGGCCAGGTCAGTAATGTCTGACAGGGAGGTGAGGGCCAGGTCAGTAATGTCTGCCAGGGAGGTGAGAGCCAGGTCAACAACGTCTACTCCGGCGTGGTCTTAGGGAGCTCTGAGACAAGTCACGTCGTAGTCAAGCAATGAACATCAACATTACTGTAAGTGAAGGTCCCACTGTTAAGTCCCCCCACAGCTGCTGCAGCTGGCCACGTCACTCCCAGAGGTTGAGGTAGTTATACTGCTGAAGGTGAACTCTTTTTGTTGAGCCAGAAGTCCCAACAAATGTGTACTGGGAACCATCATGAGTGAAATAGAACTTGGAGTTGGAGAGGTTTGGGTCGTCCTGGATACGTGTTGGGTCAAGGTCTGTATCGTTGTACTTAACATTCCCGCCACCAGCGTTCCAGACGGGTTGGTCAGTGCCAGTGCGAGACAGATCCACGTAGTACGGCTTGTTTACTGAAACATAAATAAATATTTATAATATAAGTACAAAAAATATATTTATAAACATATAATCTCTCATACATCTACGGTGGAAGATGGCGGGAGAGGTGCGGTGTTGAGCACCGAACAACTAGTGGGTCAGTGCTATCACCGGCAACCACTGTGTGTACTATTATTAAGTGTTCAAGAGTTACTGTACAATAATGGAACCCATGTATGTGCCATCCGCATCTACACAGTCTGGTAGGAGTCGTCATAAACCACGAGAGTCACGGGAAAAATAGAGAGGAAAATAAGGAAATAAATCAGTGATATCCAGTAGTGGTGACCATGATTCACCTGCCAGAGAAGGACTGGGTAATATAATGAATGGACTGAGGCAGTAATGATGATTATTATTTTTTGAAGCCCGTAAAATAAGTAGGTCACCTTACTCTAATAAACACATTGTAACAGAGAACCACTATGAACCACTACGACTAACCGCTTTGACGGACGTTTAATTAACTCATAATTAACATATGTTGATGATATAGAACTCACCTGTCGTGTCTCTCATAGCGAGCTTCACCTGATGTAGTGATGAGAGGATGGCAAGTCTCGCGCCATTTAGTCGGAAACTCCAAATATAAGTGTTGCTCTCCGTACGCCACTTGAAGCCATCATCCAAAAGAGTAATCCATTCATTGGTTCCTTTGACTGAAATTGTTTTATACAATTATAAAGCCTAGGAATATAATATAATATAATATAATATAATATAATATAATATAATATAATGTAATGTAATGTAATGCAATATAATATAAAATAATAATATTCATATGAGTTCACAGGAGTAAAGTTAAGCATTATATTGTGTAATGATGATGATGATGATGATGATGATGATGATGACGATGACGATGACGATGATGATGATGATGATGATAATAATAAAAATATTAATAATAATAAAAATAATAATAATAATAATAATAATAATAATAATAATAATAATAATAATAATAATAATAATAATAATAATAATGCTCCTTCACAGACGAGTGAATGATAAAACTCATAGTAACAATATTACCTCCCGCAGTCATCTTATTGGAGTCACCCAGGACGAGGGTCAGGTGTGACAGGTGAGGTAACAGGTATATTTTATCACATTTCTCTTGATATTTTTAAGGTAATCCAAATGTTACAACAATAACTCTACGGGTGTAATTTGGTTCTCATACTGAACAACACCAACACATTACCTGTTCCATGTTCTGTAGGTTCCAACGTCTGGGTCAACTGGACGGCCACTAACATATTTATATGCGACATATACGAACATTATGTTCTTCAATCAGCTTATACTTCATGTACCTCAAACTGAACTTTAGTCTATTATAACACACACACACACACACACACATACACACACACACATACACGATAGCGCCAGAGTGTATCATGACGAGCTGTACCTGCAGCGAGAAAGTGGAAGGCTCCGGGTGTCCTCTTGAGTCTGGGACGTTGTGTTTTGTCCCCGATGTTTGCCGGTTTGGTTGAGATCCGACACTCGTTCTCAGTCCCTGTTGTTGGCACCATCGACACTGAGTGACAATCGATCTTCGCTTGGCACGCCCGGCGACACATACCTGGGAAAATAAATGAATGAATATTGAAATAATTTAGAACTTAAGTTTTTGTGCATCGTTGACATTATTGGTGGTAAGGTAGAGGAAAGTAATGGTAGTGGCAGGTGCACAGCGCTGTAGCTCTACATCAGTGAGGTTTAGTGCCGTTGTATCTGTCAGTACTGGGTGGATCACCGCTTGACTATAGGCTGGCCGGTGACCACATAGTCCAGCTGTAGTGAGGATATTGTTTTCACATTATTCTTATTTATTACTCACCTGTGTGTCACCTCGCCTTAAACCGAATATTTCAAAAACACTAAAATCTGGTCAACCAATTTTCAGACACAAGTTGTTCATAATGTTGAAGAAAATAATTAAAGGGTCAAGACACACACACAATACAACCACGCAATCGCAAACACACACACACACACACACACACACACACACACACACACACACACACACACACACACACACACACACACGCACACACACAATGTACCTAGGCTATATAAGATCTCTGATAGATTACCAAGCACCAGCCCTGGTCCTTCGTAACGGGAAAGGCATTGACAAGCTCGAAAAAATGCAAAATAAAGCCCTCAGAATTATCCTAGGATGTCCCATAAGCACTAAAGTACTTAATATGAGGAAAGAACTAGGTATACCCAGTGTCAAAGATAGAATAATTGAAGTCAACCTCATGATAGCCCTGAGGCTTCTGCGTGGTGATCCTGATAACATTGTTTCCTTAAAATTGCTAAAATGTATGAACCATGGGACTGGTGAATCTAAATGGATCCAAACTACAGCTACACATAAGAAGATGTTTGGACTGGACCATCTGTACAAAGTTGAGACACAACAGCGCTTCCTGCCACCCTGGCGGACAGTTCCCATCGATATCACAATACCGACATATCCGACTAAAAGATTAATTATACAAAGTATTTATCTCCAACACACTGCCAAAGTGAGAGCTCTTGCACACATACACACTCTACAGACCGATGATAACATCACACAGACCATCTACACTGATGGATCTCTTAACACCGCCTGTAGGAGGGCTGGAAGTGCTATTGTTGTGACTCAACCTGACGGTAATATAATTAAAAAAGGAGTTAGAATTAACAACTGGGCATCCACTATACAAACTGAATTGGTTGCCATACTCAAATCAGTGATGATGAGACTGTCACTGACAGTCTCATCATCACTGATTCTCTATCCTCAGTACTTGTCCTTGACACCCTCTAATGAAGTTGTCACGCTCTTGTCTCTGGAGCCAGACACAAATATGCGGACCTTGTTGACCGGGGTGTCAAGGTCAAACTGTTGTGGATCCCCTCTCTCATAGGCCTCAAACAACATGACAGAGTTGATGCCCTCGCCAAACTCGCGTCTAACAAAGACACCGTTGAATACAATCTTGGTTTTTCAAACAGAACCCTTAAAACTGTAATTGGGAAGGAACTTATTGATGAATTTCACGCAATCAAACAAGTGAAAACAGGCACTAGTCGATCCATAATTTACCATGATGAGATGTATCAAGTGAAACATGTATATGGAGCAAGTAACAAGATCACTAGATTACAAGCTGTTGTAACCGCTAGACTAAGGTTAGGATATAAGTACCTCTGGCAGTATATCCCTCAAGAAGATGTGAACACGATTAAATGTAAAGTGTGTGGCCAGACATATAGCCACACACTTGAACAATACGTCCTCGGCGTATCCACTTTTTTACAATTAGTAGGTAAATCAGTTCCCATGTATAGAACCAAATACACAATGTGCTTGAATACTTCTCACACAAATGTGAATAATAAAGTGTGCGGCCAGACACACTGCCTCACACTCCTGTACTCACGCACTTGTGAATAAGTTACCCTTTATGGATAGAACTAGACAAAGAAGTTATTTGAATTACTGTATAACATTCAGTGCCATAATATCCTGACCACGGGGGTTAATTATACTGACCCTTTGTAAACTACTCTGTAATCATTTTGCGCTACCACTCACAGGATGAGTATGGGGTGCTCAAAAAACTAGCAACTGTAGGCGGCAAAATTAAACAAATTAAAACACACACACACACACACAGATGAACATCTTATCACTAATTCCACTTTAATAGCAAATGCGTGTTTCGTTATAAAGGAGTTTAACGTGCAGTATACGTAGAAAAATGAAGGTGTCTGGCACGATATGTGAGAATCAATAATTGGATATTTTCTACAGTGCCAGTTTGGTGTCTGAGGAGCAGATTCACACCCTCTTCCACCCTGTTGAAGGTGAGGCGTGTGAGTGGCGACTTTGTTGATTTTGGTGTCTATCTTCTCCACAACCATTGTAGAACATCTTCTCTTTAGGTAGTCACTTGTGTGCCCCCATACGACCACTCCCACCCCAGTCCGGCAGCAGCTCTCAAGAAACCCTCTTTGTGATACATGAAATAAACTTTCTTTTCTAAATAAATCTTACTGGTAAATATATTAATAACCTTTAACATGAACTTCACAAAGGTCAACGTGACTTTTGATATGCTAATACACAAAAAATAAATCAATAAAATAAAAGTTTCAATTATTAAGTTATTAAAAACAATAGACCTTTTCCACAAACCAATCTGCCATTAACTGATATATTTCTAAAAAAAAAAAATATATCGGTCAATTTTTGTTTACAGTTCAGCACACACAATACATGCTGAACACATTCTTACACTGTAGTTGTCAGTAAAGGTTTATAACAAGATAAATGTAGACTTAATATTTATTCATCCCATCAAAAAATTCTTGTTCAAAAGTCACAATAGATAACTTACATATTTCTTTGGACGTCTAAATAATTTTCTATACAAAAATTCAAACTGATTTTAGCTTCTCTATTTGTTCTTCATTTTGTAAATCCAATTTGATAATCAGATAATTATTATAGTTGATGTTATATTTAATGAAAGTTTGTGGGTATTACTTAAGTTAATTGACCTAAATTAAGTACACTAAGACTCGTGGCCTCAGGTTATGTGATTTGGTCTTAGAATTAACTAAATTCTCGTCCTTGTATATAAACCAGTTTCAATTTATCGCTGTTTCACAAATATTCCTCTTTATTTTGTCTCTGGTTAAGTCCTGTGGCATAGACACTCATTATCAGCCATGGTGGATGGTTTCCTTCTTCACCGGTCAAACCATTTATCAAGAGCCAAACTTACTTCATTTTTTTCCTTTCAACTTAATTATCAAAAAATTTTCGTTGTAACCTTTAATACTTCAAAATAAATCTTGTTAATAAAATAGGCGGTAGTTATTAAACCGTTCAGTGTTAATGCGTTACGTTGACAGATACATTTTTGAGCATTTATACACGCAGGATCAGTCGACAGTCTATATGTTATGGGCAGCGTTACTTCCTACACCTGACCTAATGTTAACACAGTCCTACAGCTCGCAGATACACCCAATCTGTCTTGGTTCTTCTCGATAAAATCCAGCCTAAAACTGACATTCTTCTTAAGGTTTAGTTTATCCTTCGTTTAACTTACACGCCCCCCCCCCCTCTTATATAGTACTCTGCTCAGACTCAACTATTACCCATATCTCTCTCCTTTTAATTTCCTGCCATATGGTTTCGTCTGTGGATACTTCAGTCAACTTGTAGACCATCCATTGTGTGTCATGTTTGACTCAGTCGTTGTCTCTAACTTTAAAGATGAAAATATTCAATGTGGATCGCTCTTGTCACATTTGTACTTAAAAGAAGTATTAATGTTTCTTTCACACTATAAAAGGCAGAACAAATTTGTAGGAATATATATATATATATATATATATATATATATTATAATAAGAGAAGTAAACTCCTCACCATTAAGTTCTCTCGGTCTCTACATCCGCTAAACTTTTGATCTTAGTCAGCGCTGATAATGTTCCCCTAAGTCTTCATAAAGATATCCTTCAGAAAACAACAATTAATCATTGTTTAGCAAAGTGCAACTCCACCATCACCTCCCATACTGGCTATGGAGTCAGGCCGGCCCAGGTCACTCTTGTTACAAACATCAACGAGTTAACAACAACTACACTCTGACGTCTTCAGTGGCCATTGTATCGTAAAAACTTGCTGACTGTATTCCCCAATGCTAAATGATGAATATTATTATCACACACACACACACACAACCAAAAGTAACAAGTTCTTACCAGTTTTTGTAATATTAAGTGTTTGGTAATCTGTTGCATCATCCATGGCGTAGCCTGCGATCATGTAGTTGTCCCCAAATCCATCACTGATCTTGAATAAGATTTTGTTCGGTGCAGCAATGGGCGTCAGCAGGAGCAGCACCAGCACTAGCCTCCACCTGGCTACACCACCAACCATATCTACGGATACTCTCTCGTTTCTTTTCTCACCCAAGTTGTAAGAGATGAAGGAGTGGTTGGTGAGTGAGCGTGATGATGACCGCCCGGCGTCTGCGTCATGAGAAGGTCCACCGCGGCCCACGTGCTGGTGCGCGCAACCGCAGTGGACCTGAGGCCCCGTAGCTGAGCCCTGACGTACCCAGTAACGTATGCTTGGTTGGCTTTATTGATGACGTTTCTGAATGTTTCGTAATGTCATGTCGGGATAAGATGTTATTGTTATATGGAGAGCAATTTAATGTAATCTATTAATTCAATCAAATGTGATACAAGCGAGTCAAGACTATTATAGAAGACAAGACAAACTGAGTTCCACAGTAATATAAATAGTTGTTGGCCTGGGATCCCTGGGTGGGGCAGAGGTAAACCCGGCCGAGATTTCCAATTAGACAAACCTCTGATGTGAAAGACTTATTCAGATTTTTGTATATCAACATTGCTCCAGTTATTATAATAGGTACAGCCGTTATCTTTGTAATTTCTGTACTTACAGGTTAAGTATTAGAGTGCTGTAACTGTAGCTTTGTTAGGAGGAGTTGAACCAAAAACTTGGGTGGTTCCATGTTCGGCTAATGCTCTCCTGAACTGGCGGGTTCTAATACCATGGTTCGCCAAACTTATCGAATGGGTCGAGAGATACAGAACTGTTCAAATAAGGTTAGTTTAGTTTAGGTTAGGTTAGGTTAGGTTAGGTTAGGTTAGGTTAGGCTAGGTTAGGTTAGGTTAGGTTAGGCTAGGTTAGGTTAGGTTAGGCTTGGTTAGGGTCGTCAAGGCCGACAGTACACACAGCCTTGGAGCAATGCCAGGGCGGGTTTATGCTCCAACGCTCCTGCTTGACACAGTTGTTGGCGACGTTAGTTGTGTGGTGATGGATTCGGGAACGAGGTGGTAATGTTGATAATATAGGGTGTCCCAGAAAATACGGCACTGCCACCCTGCAGCTCAGAGTGTCTCAAGGAGCAGGCAGGGAGGGAGGTAGGGAGCAAGCAGGGAGGAAGAGAGGGAGGGACTTTTTCTGGAACACCCTGCATATACAGCGACTTTGCTAAGGGTGTCTGTCAGCGTAAACATGCTGTCGACGCAGCGCAGACGTTTGCTGGTACTTTTAGAAAATAATGCTTTTCAACGTGTGGTACCTGCAGAGGTACACAGGAAAGAACATCCCAAATAACAGAGGAAGATGGAAGTAGGCGAACTTCACCATCTCTACAAGGAACTTCGCCAAGATTCAAAGAAGTTTCACGAGTACACCAAAATGTATCCTGGTTGGGGACGAGGCCTACCAACTCTGTGTATATTTGTTGAAACCCTATGCTAGTAATGTTGTGAACAAAGACAAAATAATTTTAATTACAGGTTGTCACGTGCCAGGCGTGTTGTAAGGTGTGCATCTGGAACAAGTAAATGGAGAATTAATAAAGTTACTGAAATAAAGGTAAGATACTGCCACTGACAGTGTAAAGTGTGCTACACGTTTCTGGACGCAAAGTCATATACAATTCAAGATAGTACAGTTGAGAATAACACAGCGCCCTCTAGAATAAGTAATACCTCACATTCATCTGCAAAGAATGTAAGAGAAACATTTTGGAGCTACTTTAATAGTCCACAAGGATCTATTAACAGTGGAAAACGAATGTATGACTTTCTTTAGTTTTGGTGTAGAATGTGAGGTCTCGTGCGACTGAGGAAGCGACGATGAAAATAATTGATGCTTGCTTCCCGGTCACTCACGAATGTTTCACGCATCTACGTGGAACATATCAAAGAAAGCACACATGTTTCTCCACTACACCCAAGGTCAATGTAGGTAGCGCGTTCACTCGAGTGGTCGTTCGATGCCACAAGAGGCTCGCATATGGGACATAGCCTAAGAGAGACGAGCGAGGTTATCCTAAAACTATATCTTGCGCTTGTCAGACCTCACTTGGATTACACGGTTCAGTTCTGGTCACCGTACTACAGAATGGATATAAAATCCCTAGAAAGAATTCAGAGGAGAATGACAAGACTAATTCCGGGCATTAGGAACCTTGAGTACAGAGACAGGTTAAAGCATCTTAATCTGCACTCACTCGAGAGACGTAGAGTGAGGGGCGATATGATCGAGGTGTATAAATGGTAGTCAGGGCTAAACAAAGGTGATATAACGAAGGTACTCAAACTATCCAACCAAGAGCGAACTCGTAACTATGGTTTTAAATTAGAGAAATTTAGATTTAGGCGAGAGGTGGGTAAACATTGGTTTGGAAATAGAGTAGTGGATGAGTGGAACAAGTTACCAAACCTCATCATTAACTCGAATACGCTGGATAGCTTCAAACATAGGTTGGATGATATATGAGCGATAGGGGTTGGGTGTGAACGGGACTCCCCAGTGTGGGCCAATAGGTCCGCTGCAGTTTCCTCCATTCTTCTGTTCTTATGTTAAGTGTGTGTGTGTGTGTTGAGTACATGTGTGTGTGCGTGTTGAGTACGTATGTGTGTGTGTCTTGATTACATATGTGTGTGTGTGTGTGTGTGTGTGTTCCTGTTGAGTACGTATGTGTGTGTGTGTGTTGAGTACATGTGTGTGTGTGTGTGTGTGTGTGTGTGTTCCTGTTGAGCGTGTGTGTGTGTGTGTGTGTGTGTGTCTTGAGCACATGTGTGTGTGTGTGTGTGTGTGTGTTCCTGTTGAGCATGTGTGTGTGTGTGTGTGTGTGTGTGTGTTGGTACATGTGTGTGTGTGTGTGTGTGTGTGTGTGTGTTCCTGTTGAGTACATGTGTGTGTGTGTGTGTGTGTGTGTGTGTGTGTGTTCCTGTTGAGTACGTGTGTGTGTTGAGTGTGTGTGTGTGTGTTCCTGTTGAGTACGTGTGTGTGTGTGTGTGTGTGTGTCTTGAGTACATGTGTGTGTGTGTGTGTGTGTGTGTGTGTGTGTGTGTTCCTGTTGAGTACGTGTGTGTGTGTCTTGAGTACATGTGTGTGTGTGTGTGTGTGTGTGTGTGTGTGTGTGTTCCTGTTGAGTACGTGTGTGTGTGTGTTGAGTACGTGTGTGTGTGTGTGTGTGTGTGTGTGTGGAGTACATGTGTGTGTGTGTGTGTTGAGTACGTGTGTGTGTGTGTGTGTGTGTGTGTGTTGAGTACATGTGTGTGTGTGTGTGTGTGTAAAGCTTACTTACTTTCAAGTCTATATTCTAAATCATGACCCACTTTTTGTCTTCTTTCTTGGGTACAAATTATCATTGATCTTCTTTCGTTGAGCAATGTATTCAAGTCCAGTATACCCGGTACTGCAAAACAAAGTCTCTGGGGTGCCTCAAATAACACGTCCCAAGTTCACACCATTGAGGCAAGTTCGGAACGTGAGTGTGTGGAAGTGGTGTGTCAAATGGTATCAAGGAAATACAGTCATACGCACATACGTATACACACACGCACACGCATGTAGTTTAACCACAAAAAAATGATTAAATATATATTTTACCTTGAGCACAGAATGACAATATATCTGGACGGAGTAGAGTTTGGGGAGGAGGAGGTTGGGGAGGAGGAGGTTGGGGAGGAGGAGGTTGGGGAGGAGGAGGTTGGAGGAGGGAGGTTGGGGAGGAGGAGGTTGGGGGAGGAGGAGGTTGGGGAGGAGGAGGTTGGAGGAGGAGGAGGTTGGGGAGGAGGAGGGGGAGGAGGAGGAGGAGGTTGGGGAGGAGGAGGTTGGGGAGGAGGAGGTTGGGGAGGAGGAGGTTGGGGAGGAGGTTGGGGAGAGGAGGTTGGGGAGGAGGAGGTTGGGAGGAGGAGGTTGGGAGGAGGAGGTTGGAGAGGAGGAGGTTGGGAGGAGGAGGTTGGGGAGGAGGAGGTTGGAGGGAGGAGGAGGAGGTTGGGAGGAGGAGGTTGGAGGAGGAGGTTGGAGAGGAGGAGGTTGGGGAGGAGGAGGTTGGGGAGGAGGAGGTTGGGGAGGAGGTTGGGAGGAGGAGGTTGGGAGGAGGAGGTTGGGAGGAGGGAGGTTGGGGAGGAGGAGGTTGGGAGGAGGAGGTTGGGAGGAGGAGGTTGGGAGGAGGAGGTTGGGGACGAGGAGGTTGAGGAGGAGGTTGGAGGTTGGAGGAGGAGGTTGGAGAGGAGGAGGTTGGGGAGGAGGAGGTTGGGGAGGAGGAGGTTGGAGGAGGAGGTTGGAGAGGAGGAGGTTGGGGAGGAGGTTGGGAGGAGGAGGTTGGGGGAGGAGGAGGTTTGGGGAGGAGGAAGTTGGGGAGGAGGAGGTTGGGGAGGAGGAGGTTGGGAGGAGGAGGTTGGGAAGAGGAGGTTGGAAGGAGGAGGTTGGAGAGGAGGAGGTTGGGGAGGAGGAGGTTGGGGAAGAGGAGGTTAGGAGGATTAAACATCGATCATGACCAGGAAATGTAAAATAAAATAATGATAAAAAATAATCTGCCACTATTTCACTGTCGTCAAATTTTAAATAAATCTCTTTGATTGTGCTTTAGGGGCTGGCTGGCTGGCTGGCTGGCTGGTATCTCATATATAATTAAACCCTAGCAGCTAATTCTTCAGTCTACTTGGCCCAGATCTATAATTATCACTCAGTTGCTAGCAAACAGAGACTACAATTATAGGGTTAAGTATTGACCTCAACGCAGCACCAATAGTAGTATTAGCATGCTAGTGTTTTAATTTGATTTGTGCATTTTTTAATTTTTTTTTTCAGACCCACACTTGATTGTAAGTGTTTATTTTCTGTCGGCGTGTTTTAAAACCTCGAAAGTGTTGGTAAAGCTCATGATTGATTAATTAATGTTACTGACGAAACTCTCCCAACGGTCTTGTTGTTGTCATTAACTTTATAGATATAACTACTGCCAGTCATACACCAGTTACACACTATACGCATACACCTCACGTTCATATATATTTATAACAATACACACTAAACAGTATTATACACAACACAGTGATGCGACGCTACTTACTAATACATACTATATTTTCATGTATACATTACAGTAGTGTTACATATTACATATTGACCCACACACACACACACACACACACACACACACTCTTTACGGACGCGTTGAGTG